AAGAGCGTGGCTGAATGGCCAGCATGCACACTGCCCACGGCCAGCCCTCAAGAAGCACTGAGTGCCCTCCTGGATGCCCTCGCGGGCCAGCGCCCTTACCACTGCTTGGTGATGTCGAACATCATGACCACCCCGTTGCAGTTCTTGTACACGTCCAGGAACTCGGCATCCAGGGCCATCTCGGACTCCGCCTAGGGGTGGGGGAATTGGGCCTCAGAGATGGTGCCCCAGGCCAGGTCCCACAGGTGAGCACCCACCAGCTCCTGGGAAAGGCTGAACAGGACTTTTACAACTGAAAAGACAACGGCTATTTTCATTTTGGGAAAAAGAAACATAGACGCAAGGTTATCTGGAGTGGAGGCCACATCGTGCCTGCCCTCAACTGAAGGTCTCCCGCATTGGCCGTCGGCGGCATCCTGACCTTGGGGCTCACAGACGCTCCACTGCTGGGACAACTGAGCTGAAGAAATGCGTCGCAGAGCTGAGGATGCATGTCCCAGAGAACCTTCCAGAGCACACACACCAGGGAGGCTGCAGTGCTGGGGGCAGTGGTAACATGCCCACAAAGACCACACAGACCTGGGCCAGGCAGTCACTGAATCTTCCTATCCTAAAAGGGAATCCTAAAGGCTGCCCGCTGTCAGGAGGCCGTCTACGGACAGGAGGACCCGGAGAGAAGGGCCCTTGGAAGCCATCAGAAAGCTTTGCAGACCGGAAGGAGTGCTAGCTGGCCTCTGAATTCTTTGTGTCGAGGTGGCGGCCGTGGTGAGAGCCCTCTCGGAGCCATACTCATGCCCACGTGTGCCTGGCGCCACACCTGAAGGTATGCTATGCTTTTAATGGCTGAGGCCTTTGTAACACGGATATAAAATTTGGCCACTTCACCTAAATACCTCTCAGGTCACCCCAACTCCGAGTAGGGTCTGGTGGGCATCCCTGACACAGAGCAGCAGCTCAGGTGACCCCAGCCGCCCCAACGCGACCAAGGGCAGCACGGGAGTAGCCACTGAGTCCACCAGCACAGATGGAGTCCTCAGGAGGGCCAGGCCAGGCAGGAGGCAGAGGGGTCTGAAGAACAGATGCCTGCTCACAACCCCCCACCCAAAATAGTGGGCCACGTGGGAACAGACGCAGCTCACCTTCTGGGGTTCATTCTCCATCTTCAAGGCATCGCCTCGCTTCTTGCATTTTCCTTAAGAAAAGGCACAAAGTCACGGGGTGGAAATGCTGGGCCTAAGGATGGCCTGAGGGGGTAGCAGCCCCTCCCTGTGTCCCACTGCCCCCCATGCCCCTGCCCCCGCCTCCAGTAGGTGCCTTACGGGCTGGGGTTGGAGCCGCCGGGACCCTAAGGCAGGACACGGCCAGGACCCCAGGGAGGCCACGGAGGCTCCCTGAGCCGGTGCTGAGGGTGGACGAGCTGGGCTTGGGGCCAGGAAGCCGTGGAACCTCCAGAGCAGTAAGAGCTCCCATGCCCAGCCTCCCTTCCCTGCATCTCAGACATTTCTGACAGGGGAGAAAGGACCACTCGTCACCCTAGGGTCCCGGGGCCCTCAGGCTCAGAGCAGCGGGCTGGGCGAAACCAACAAACCGGGGTTCGTTTATTAGAAGGCCGCCCTCTGCCTCTTCCGCAGCCTCTCCCAGAACCTCTCACCACCCTCTGATCCCGTCTCCGGAGGTGCCCCCAGCTCAACAGACGCTGGCCACCTCGCGCCCTCCCAGTGGATGCCTGGGGCCATGGGGTCGAGGCCCGAGCACCACGACTGCCGACAGGTGTGGCCGAAGCCCAGGACGTGCCACCACCGCCCAGCTGCGAGCAGAGCGGAACCTGGGCCAATGATCCTGGGCGGAGGGCCGGGCAGCCAGAGTTACGCTGCGCCCACGCCCGCCATGAGGGGCACCATCTCTCAGCCGCTGCCACCCCCCTCCAACTCGATGCCCTTTGCTGCTGTGGACGAGCCTCTGACCGTGTCCAACAGGGGACCAGTTAGGGTGGTAGAGAAGGCACATTTCCTTCCCACTCTGCGGATTCCCACCCGAGAGGCACCAGATGATGGAGCCCTGGGGATGCTGAACGCTCGTACGGAATGCTGCCCCTGCCCCTGGCCGCCAGCACACGAGTGAGCCTCCTCTCCACGCCGCAAGGAGCTCTGTGGTGAAAAGCCACCCAGGGAACTGTGGCCAGCCCATCACTGCCCTTCCGTCGGCGTGAAGTGGGGTGCTTGCAGGTTCCCAGAACAGGGCAGTGCCTGCCTCTGTACCATGAGGCCGTTCCCCGCACTGAAGACACGACATGCTGCTGCATGGAAGGGGTCCCGTCAGCAAAGACAGAGCCCATTCTGGACATGTGCATCCCGTCCCGAATGAGTGCAGACCCAGGGAGTCAGAGCCAGGCATGCGGGGGCAGGGGTGCGGGATGTGCCGGGGCACGGAGGGCAGCCTGGCCCGAGCGACAGCTCCCCCTCACATCCGGGATGGCGGCTGGGCTGCAAGGGGCTGCTTCCTAGTGCTACCCGGCCACATGCACACAGGACACAGTGCAAGCACCCTCTGGAGCACGAGGCCCCTCCAGGCGCTGTGGGTTTAAAGCATCCTGGGGGCAGTAGCCCCAGCATGGCGCTCGGGCTCAGGGCAGCAGCACCCTCAACTGACTCGATGGGTCCTCGGAACCCAAACCCACCTCCAGAGAACGTGGTGTAGGAGAGAGCGCGTGTTCTGTGCCAGAAATCGCAAGCTCGAAAAAGACAACGTCCCTTTGTCCCTGAAGGACAGGAGGAGCTATAGCAGGCCTGCGGGGTCCGAGGCCGGGCCTGGGGGTCGGAGGTCAAACCCGCGAGGCCAGACCACGGCGTGCACAGGGCACTGGCCCCAGGAAGGAACACGAGCATCACACAGGAGGGGCCTGTGGCCTGCGTGCTAGGAGGAGATGAATTGGATGAGACGCTGGGGGCGAACGTGCCACGCCCCCACCCCGGCCCGCCTGCTGCACACAGGCACGGTCCCCGAAAGCTCAAGCCACTTCAGAAGCCAAGGACCCTTGGCCCTGGGCCCAGGGGCAGGAACAAGTGGGCTGCCACACCCACGGTGCTACAGGAAGGGCCCTGAACAGCCCCACAGAGCCTCTGGGTGTGGTCCGTGTCTGCCCTCCATGGCCACGTGCTCAGCTCAAGCGGGTGGAACAGGTGTTTCAAGAGCAAAGACCGTGGTGCCCCGACTGGTCAGCACCGGGCGCTCCATCCTGGACCACACACCCGGAGCCCGACGGCGCGGTCAGCACAGAGCCAGGCCTCCGTTGGCCCCTGTGCCCAGGAGCCAGAGTCAAGGGACCGAGGCGCCAGGAGGCGGCAGAGGAGGGGCCGCCAGCGAGCGAGAGAGGACAGCTGTTCTCCGCAGCACAAGCAAAGCTTGAAATAGAAAAGCGCCCTTGTAGAAGGACCTGACTTACCTTTGTCAACTACGTCCCAGACCTCAACTTTCACGATATCATCAGTGGCTAAAATGGGGGGGAAACAGTAAGACGAGCATCCAGTGTGAACTTGCGGTTTCAAAGATGGGCCGCGCGGATGTCACCGTCCCCACTCGGCGCCTCCCCAAGGGCCCCTGCTCCCGCCCAGGCTGGCAGGTGCTGTGCCCAGGACACCCCTTCCCTGGAAGGCAGGGAACAATCTGGACACCTCCTCCGCTGACACGACCCCGTGTCCCGAAGGGTCCCTGGGACGGGCTCGCACCCAGCCTGAACCCGGCCCCCGCTGGCCCCCTGGCTTCTGCGGGAAGGCCCAGTCCCAGTGATTCTGCCCTGCTCCTTGGCAGAGGCCTCTGCTCCGCTGCCTGCGGGGGGCCAGGGCAGCAGGCTCTGGGATCGGCCAGTCTGGCGTCAGGGCCTTTGCACGTGCCCGGGCCGTCAGCGGGTCCACTCACCACCCCAGGGATTCCGTGGGGAAAGGGGAGAGGTGGGGAACTGCCGGGCACCTGCCACCAAGCTGCAGGGCACAAGAAGTGCGCGGTCCCCGCCAACTTCACCCCAAACCGGGAAGGGGTGCCCTAGGGGGTGAGGCTTCCCTGTGCAGCTGACGGGCAGGGCAACACTGAATCCGCACAGCTGTCCTACGTCGCGGCCTGGCCAACCCTAGGAGGGAGTCGGAACTTCTGCAAAGGCCCGTGTGTCCTGCTGTTGGCCCGCTGGATTTTTTTTTTCAACGAAAAGGAATGTTTAAAATGGCTCAAAGGTCTTTTGCTTTCTGGCTCCTGAGCACGCAGAGTGGATTCTCTCCCTCCCAGCAGGGCGCCCCGTGGCCGCTGTCCCCCAGGAGCGGAGTGGAGGTGCCTGCCATTTTGCCTACGGCCAGGTGGCCGCCAGGTGTGTTCTGCCCATCAGGCAATCTCGCCAACAAACCCCCTCCCAGGACCCTGGGGGGACTGGCACTTCACAACTGCCGCCGAGAGCTGGGCTCCAAGGCCCAAGGGGCCTCTGTCTGCTGGGGCCCAGCACGCGCTGTGGCCGGGATGGTCCCTGCCCGGAGGCTCTGCCCCTGGGATGTCCGAAGGTCCGGGCCTCTGGCCCCGCTCCCCAGGTGGACCGAGTCTCCCACGGGACAGGGGACTTCAGGGCCACCCCAAAGCGGCTTTGATGAGCCCCCGAGTTCACACGTGTGCGGTGTTCCTGTGACAACCCCAGGCTGGGGGAGGGCGCCGGGAGGAAGACCCCTACCCAGCAGGCCCCCGAAGCCCCACCCCCTGCCCCCGCTGCCCTCACTTTTGTAGCTCCAGTGGATGCTGGTGACCTGGATCTCCTGTGTGGGGATGTACTCCTCCACGAACTTCTTGCCCTGCAGCCGGTGCCACAAGGCTGTCTTGCCCGTGTTCCTGTCCCCTCGGATCACGATCTTCACTGCAGGGGAGAAAGCACAGGTGAGGCAAACAGTCAAGGCAAAGGCAAACTTTCACTCCCCCGAGCGAGTCCACGCGCGGCTTCTCGTGCACAGACGTGGCCAGTGTGGCTGGCGAGCCAGAGCTGAGTGAGGTGGGCTGGCCGGGAGCCCCCGGAGGGACTCACGTTCCCTCACGTTCCCTGTGCCGTGGGCACACGTTCGCTTACTGGGGGCACCGGCAGCCCTGCTCCCCCCCAGGCCCCCGACGGACTTCCTCCGGGGCAGGTGGTCGACCTCGGGACTCTGCACTCGGGAACGCGGTGCTCCAGAGCCGGGTGCCCGTGGGGCAGGTTGGGGCAGGCTGTGCTCACCTCTGCAGCCCCACGATTCCCAAGTCTGCTCTCACCCTACTTTCCCAGAGCCCTGGCATCTTCGGTGCAGGATTCTGCAGGACGCAGGGCTCTTCAAGACCACATCTGGGATGACAACAGGAAGCCTGGATTCTACTTTGCTTGCTCGGCCGGTGTTTAGCAGCGTGCACGTGGAGGGCTGGGGGCAGCGTCTCCCCCGCTGGCACCGAGCACCTGGCAGGGCCGGCGTGGACTCCGTGTCTCTCACCCGGTCATCCTCTAGGGCGCCGTCTTCCAAGTTTTCAACGTCCGGCACAAAGTCATCCGTGACATTTTATGTTCTAGACTCCGTGGTCGCTGCTGTGTACTCTTCATCCTCCCGGATATTTGTTTTGTCTTTTTAATTAACCTTCCCAGAGGTCCGTCTACTTGGCCAGTCACGCCCACACGCCCTGCGTTTTGCTGGACGCCTCCACTGACCCTCCTCAGAAACCGCGCGCTCCTGCGTCTCTGGCATTTACGTCCTCCTCCTCTCTTGAGGCTCGAGCTGCTCTCCTCGTGGGTTCACGCCCTGTCCTCAGGCCAGCACAGGTGTGTGGGCTGCTCACTGCCACTGGATTACGGACACTTCTTGACCCATCAATTACTTAGAAATATTTTCAAGTTTCCCCCAAAGTTGTACTTTTTGGTTATTCCCATCCAGTTTTACTCACTGTGGCCACAGCATGTGGTTTTTATGGTACACATTCTTGGGTGTCTGCTCGGACTGTCGGTTTTAGGAACGCTCCTTGGTTCGAGCGCGGCTGGGTGCAGACACCTGCTCTTCACTGACTCTTCGTCTCGCCCGGCCGGCTGTCTGACCTGCACCCAGTGTGAGTCCCCGCAGCTCCAGCACGAGGACCCCACGGGTGCAGCTTCCTCGTGGCTGATATTGACCCACTGCTTGGTTCTACGACCCTGCCTTCAACCTTTCTATGCCATCGTGTGTTGGACGTGTCTCTTACACATCACACAGCCAGAAAGAAATCAAATCGCAGTCTTTCTTTCACTGGTGCGTCTGCCTGTTCACATTCCCTGGTTGCCAACAGAGGCGGGTAACCCCCTCCGCCACGTGTGATCATTTCCAGTCACTGCTGGGGTTCCCTCCCCTCTTTTCTGCCTTCTTTCATGTTGGGCGAGGTTTTTGTTGTTGTTGTTGTTCCTCTTTTGCCTGGTATTTATTTGGAAGATTTGAGATCTATTTCTATTCTTAAATTTTTAACACACACCTTTGCTGCAGTAAAGTGTGAAGTTAATACATGTCCTTGGCTCCCACTTCAACACAGCTCTGGTCAGCGCCATCGTGGGTCACACGCTGATTGCTAGCGTTCTGGCTTCTCCTTCTGCGTTCCCCACGGTAGTCACGATGCTTGTTCACCCATTTCCGTGCTGACCTGTGCCTTGCAAACCTCCTCCATCTCCCGAGCTCCCTCTCCATCTGTCTGGAGTACCTCCTCCGGGATTTATTTCAGCAGGGTCCAACTTAGACCGGAGAGGGGTTTAATCGCACTTGGTGTAGATTTCTAGGCCGACCAGGATTTCCCCATAGGAACATCTCCACCACCGTCACTGTCAGCGTGTTGTCAGGCTCTTGGCTGTCCCTCTGCTTGCACTGGTCGCCTCTACAATTTTCCTCTTTGATTTTGCTGTCCTGAAATTCCCATGATGTGTCCAACTCTGCGAGTCTGAAAGCCCTGGCCTTGGCTTTCTTGGCGTTTCATGGACTCCGGGAGCCCCAGCAAGTCCTAGCCTGCGTTTCTGCAGTAACTGCCTCTTCTCCATCCCTGCTACTCTTTCCTTCTGAGACTCAGATCACATGTGTGTGGGCACTGCTCAGTTCTGGGCCCGCATCTCCCTGCCAGGTGCCAACTCCCCCTTCAGCTATTATGCCGCTTTGCCTACCTGCCGGCTTTTTGTTTTCGTGACCGTGCTCTTTCATTTCTGGAGGGTCTCTTTGGTTCTTTTTTCAAACACGGCTTGTCTGTCCAGAGTCTTGATATAATCTTAGAACTGTTTCCTTCTTTTATATCTTTACCAATTTTAACATGTATTGACATTTGTTTTCTATTCTGTTTTGAGAATGAAAAGTCTTAATTTTCTCTCTCTTCAACTGAAATCCTTTTAAAGTTTGAAATTTACTCTTCAAAAAAGTTAATTAGAAGAAACCGTATAACATCAGAAATAAATAAAATGATCTGCTTTCATCCATTAAAAAAAGGAATTAGCCTCTACTTTTAAATTAAAAAGTCTAATCAATCTCAGAACCTTAGACACTGGCTCCGATAAGCTAAATAAGTGATTCACTGAAAAACCTTTAATTAAGATTCTCCCAAGAAGCGATGAGGAGCCCTTACTTAGGAAGCATGTGGCACTTTACGCCAGGCGTTTTACTAAACAGAATAACTCTATTTCTATTCTACGCCTTTTCTTTTATTCTAAGTAAAGCTACAATGCAGAAGACACAGAGATCCTACTACAGGACCCAAGGATCTCTTCTACTCCCTGATTCAACAGTAATTCACTCACACTGCCACACATTTCCTGCAAGATAGGGAATCTTTTTTGTGTGTTTTCATACAACAAAAGAAAGTATGGTTTATCTTGGATGCAAATGATGCAATCAATCACTCTGCAGGAGGCACAACTGAAATCCAACGATGCCCTTTCTCTGTACCACCAGCAAGGATCACTAGCCAGACACCCAGCTGGCCACCTCCTCCTGGGCAGCCCCTCACCCCCACCGCAGCGGTGGCTCCTCTGCTCAGAGCCCTCTAAGGTGTCCCGTTCACAGAGTCCCCAGGATGGTGTGAGGGCCGCACTTCTGCAGCTTGGCCCCGCGTGCTTCTCTCCTGACCTCGCTCCGCTGTGACCCCTCGGCCCTTCTCCACGAGGCCCGCTCTGACCTTCTACGTAAAGTCCCAACCCCAGCCCCCACCCTGCTCCTTTCCTCCACCCTTCAGATGGGTTATATGGTTACCGCCTCATCACGTTTAGTGCCCACAGTCTGCCTTTCTACCCCCACTAGAATGGAAGCTCCACAAGGCAGAGACTGCTGTCTGGGTTTTCACTGATCTATGCTCAGTAAATATTTGCTAAGTAAATGAACGCTAGGGAAGGAAAACCTATAAATGAAAACGTGGCAGATCACGGGCAGCAAAGGCTCGGGACTTTGCAAATCGGCCCTGCTGGGGCAGGTCAAATAGTTTGCCAAACACAGCTGTTTATTTCCGAAAGAAAAAGCTCTCTTACCCAGAAACCAGCCTTTCAAAGGTTTCTTGGCAAGGAAGGGTTTAACTCCATTTTAAGTTCTAGCACTGAAATCCGACTGGCCAGGTCTCTGGCTGTCCCAACGTCTGGAGGCTTTCTCAGTAAGGAATGCAGCCTGGAGCAAGGGCAGTCTGGACGAAACGCACAAGACCGGTGCTTCCTCACTGGACCCAACACAGGTAGAAAGAAAAGACCAACACAGGTAGCATCCTTCCACTTTACACGCGAATGACTTCCAAACCATGGACAATGCCCAATGTCTCATTTGGGTTTTGATTCTAAATGGGATGTGTATGCTGGGACTCTGCATGGGTGTCACTTCTCATCGTCATAGCAATTTAAAAGAAAACGACTTATCTGCCCCAGGAGGACAAGGTTCTGTAAGAGACAATCATCAATTCTCACCCATAAAATTCCTGAGTCTATAACTATCATATTGCTGGTTTGCTCCCCTAAGTAAGATGTTTTGGGAAATAAATATAGAAATGTTCTATTCTACTGACTAATAAAAAAAATTTAAAGTTTCAAAATTGCAGTATTAGCCAACTACAGGGGCAGCATCACCCTGAAATGTCCTGTGGGCACAGCACCCCGTTTCTCTCAACTGCACCACCTTTCATTCATTTTTTTCCAGATCAGAATCTGCCCCCACCCCAACTTCCCGAGGTGGGTCTCTTCTCTGGAAGGACTCCAATGTCCTTTCTCCTTTTTTTTTTTTTTTTTTTGCGGTACGCAGGCCTCTCACTGTTGTGGCCTCTCCCATTGCGGAGCACAGGCTCTGGACGCGCAGGCTCAGCGGCCATGGCTCACGGGCCCAGCCGCTCCGCGGCATGTGGGATCTTCCCGGACCGGGGCACGAACATGCGTCCCCTGCATCGGCAGGCGGACTCAAGCACTGAGCCACCAGAGAAGCCCCATCCTTTCTACTTTTTACTCCCGCCCACCCAGGACCAGGGGGTGTGCCCACCAGGGAGTGCTTTTCCAAAGGTGAACATTTTTCAGGTCCAGTTTCCAGACTAAGATTAAGTTTTAAACAATAATACCATAAATAATAAAATTAAATAAGGGAACCAAAGGTGGATTGTAAAGACTTGTGTAAATGAGTATTTTGACTTACTATTCTCTTCTTGGAATGTGAGAGAAATACACACAAAATTGGGTAAAATACATGCAAAACGATCCCTCTTTTAAACCCAAAGTCTTTCCAATCAGTTTCTTAATATGGTACATTGTTACCAAAATATGGGTCATCACAGAGACTTTCTTGAAAGGCTCCCCTGAAAGTAGCAAAGGGAGGAATGTCCAGTGTCTTGTAGCAATATATGGAAATACTTAAAGAGAGAAACAATTTAAAAGCAGAGAACAACATTAAAAGATCTTTAAATACTGCTAGCAAAAAGCCAGCAAGATGGAAAAACTTTAAAGAGGTCAAGAGGACAGTCAGCCTCTAGGAGCTACACAATTTACATAATTTATAACTGAGGACTGGAAACGACCTGGGCTTTCAGGGCATCTGGTAAATAACTCCTCTTTCCCGTAGGAGAAAAGAAATCTCTACAACAACAAGTAAGAGAGTAAGAGCCTGTGCCTTCTGGAGCTTTTCTAAATATATCCCTTACAAATGCTTCTTTTAAAAAAAAGTGGGGGGGGGGGCAAGAACGTGCGGTGTAGCTGACATTCCGTCTTCAAACGGGGTACGAAGTCTACAGAGAAAAATCCCATAGCTCAAACTACCGAAGCCGGCGGACTCCGCTCTCTTCTCTTGCGGGTGACCCCACGGTTCATGGATGGAGAGCTCCACCACCCCCTTTAAGAAGCGTCATACACCACAGACTCTCCCCACGTTATGTAAGAATCCCTCTTAGACGAGGTCACCTGGGCCAATGAGGGTACCGCAGACGCACCAGGAACCGCCTAGACCAATTTCACTCGAATGTCCCACCGTGCCAGCATTCCTCGGGAATGACCCACAGGTCAGAGGGGAGCGCCGCGGGCCGAGGAGCCCACCTTCTGGCCCTGGGGTCCTCTAGGACCTCCTCTCCGGCCCGCATCACCTCCCAACCCCAAGGGAACGCCCCTGGGACATCCGCAACGTGCCCGGCACAGGTAAGGGCTCAGCTCACCTGCACACAGACGGCGAGGCCCTCGGAGCGCGACGGGCCCCCCAGCGCTTCCCGGGCGAGGCCCGCCCCGGTTACCACAAGTCCTGGACTGCGCGGCCGGGGCCTGCGGACCCCGCGGGACGGTGCCCGCTGCACCCGTGCCCCCACTTTCCACGTGCCCCCGCAGGAACCCCACGCCGGGCCACACTCACTGTTGTACTGCACACCCTTGGCGAAGCGCCTCTGCAGCGCCTGGTTCATGGACTGCAGCCCAGCCGGGATGTTCTTGTCACGGCCCGGAGCCTGCTCCGACCCCACCAGCTTCTTGAGCGCGGAAAACATCTTCCCGCTCCCACGTCCGAGCCCGCCGCGGCTCCCGAGTTCAGCGGCAGCGGCGGGGGCTGCGCGGCGCGGATTGCACCATGTCCCGGGCCCCGGCGACCGGGCGCCTGCCTCGAGAGCGGCTCAGGGGCTCAGCCGCGGAGGATCAGCTTCGTCCCCCGCGGACCCCGACGCGGCCGCTCTGCGCTCGTCAGCGCCGCCATCTTGGCGCCGGCTCGGCGGGGCGCGCGACTACGGGGCTCCGCGAGGGCCATAAGAGTGCGGCGCGCGGAGGGGTGCGCGTGCGCAGAGCGCTGCGGTCGCGGGGCGTGAGGCTACGGGGCGCCGCGAGGGCCACGGGCGGGTGGCTCGCGGAGGTGCGCTCTTGCGCCGGGCGGTGTAGGTGCGGGGCTTTGGGCGCCGCAGTCCCGCCTTACGAACTGCCTCCAGGGTTTCAGCTCAGCTCAGACCCCCGTCCGCATCCCCGCCCGGACCCCCTACTCACTCTTACCCCTGCACCCTCGGGCCCAGATCCACACCGAACACCCCACTTCGCCGCAGACTTCCCAACGCTGTCCCCCACATCTGCGTCCCCTCAGGTGCCCCGCAGCACCTGGAAAATTGTTTATTTGTGTAACCAATGACAGCATGGGGGCGGGGTGTGCTGGCGAGGCGGGTTCTTCCTCTTCCGGTCACTTCTACTTGGCCACCTTGAGCTTCCCCTCTGTCAGCCGCTGGCCGTGCCTCTTGATCTCGGCCCGCGAGGGCACGTAACTGTGGTCCACGTCGGCGAACTGGAAGGTCTCTGCAAAGGAGGGGGGGAGGGCAGCCGCGCCCGCAGCCCGTCTGCCCCGCGAGGGTCCCCAGATCCTGGATTGGCCCCTGGCGTCCGTTCACCGCAGGGCCAATTGTACCAACGGCATATATTTCTTACTTTCTGTGTCCCTGATGCTCTGGCATTTGAGGTCTCGCACAGACGGGGGGAGAGACAGACCAGGGCTCACCCAGCCCTTCCAGAGCCCACACCCGACCACCTCTGTCTAACGCACACCCCAAGCCTGAATCACCCAGGGCCAGGTGCCAGGCAACTGGGGACAGCCCCTGTGCCCCAAACCTGCTGGGATTATTAGAACGGGCAGATCTTAAGCTGTGTGTCCTGCCCCGCCTTGCCCTTCCCACAAAAACCCCAGTAAGGGCCCCGACCTAGGCCTTCCCCGCTGCCTGCCTACCGGCACTGGTGCCTCCCTGTGTCACAAAAGGTGGTAAGTTCTTTCAATGGCATTAACTTCACCAAGTCACCTCCATAAATTAAAAATCCTGTGGGTGCAACTGACACACCCTTTCCATCTCTTTAGCCCCCACTGTCCCTCCAGGTCGCCCTGGTCAGATGCAGCAAGCGCCATCCCCAACCTCTGCCTCTGCACAGCTCAGGCCCACCACCAGCTGCTGGGCGGCCTATACCTATGACATACTCCCCCATCTCCTCAAAGCTGATCCTGCTTCTCCTTCAGGGCCGAGGACTCCAGGGCATCCCTCACCTTCGTGTGGACCTGCAGGGCATGGGGACCGTCAGCTCCGAGGGCACACGGGGCATGTGGGCACCCCCCGGGCCAGGGCTACCTCCTCTGTCCTGGGCAGCATCTGCACTCGGTCAGCCAGGTACAGCAGCTTCCCCTTGCAGTATGCCAGCTTGCTGTACACATCCAGGCTGTCGGGGGGCAGCGCTTCTTTCTGTGGCCAGGAGGAACAAGTTGTCTCCCTCTGGCCCCTGCAGGGGACCCTCTGTACTGGGGGCCCCTCCACGCTTCCCTGGTACCGGGGCCGTGGGCAGGGGGACGCCGATCAGGCGGGTGTGGAGGTTGTCGGTGCCAGTTTGGATGGTCAGCAGCAGCTCTGGCTCTTGGCCATGTTGGTGTGGGCCAGCTGCAGCCGGTCTTCCTCCTCCTTCAGCATGTCCTTCATTTTCTTCTCAAGACTTCAAGCTGTTGAGGATGAGGGAGGTGGGTAGCGGACCGAGGGCAAGGTCGCGGAGTCCCGAGCGGGCGCTGTGCCGATTCGGGCTCAGGAGCTCACACGCGGGCACTTGGGGCCCCTCGGCAGCGGGTGCGCTCAGCTCCGAGCCTGGTGCCAGCCACGGGGCTGTTAGTGAGGAGGAGGTCAGGGGCTCCCGGGTGCCTGACGGAGCTGGGCATCACGCCCTCCGTTGCCAGCTCCTTCGTCGCGGCCTCCAGCTGCGCCCACCTCCGCTCACCGCCCGCCACCTGCAGCGCCAGGCTCTCCTCTGAGCCAGGAAGCGGCCGGCGAGGTCCCGGCGCGGCCAGTGGGGCGAGGAGCAGGTGTGAGCCAGGAGGGAGCTTGTTTCTCTGGCTCCCAGTGGTCAGTAACATTGACTGTGGCTGGGTGTTGAGGACCTGTGAGGCCCTCTGTGTGTGTCACCCTCGTGACAGGCAGAGGGGCCAGATGACCCCAAGGAAGAGCCAGAGAGACCACCGCCACGAGACTGCGTGGCTTTGAGTCACTCTTCCAAGGGTGGACAAGCTTACGTCAGGACCATGGACAGGAGCTCAAGGCTTACTGATAATAAATCCAGGGCGGATTAAAATAAAGGGGGTGGGGCGGAGAGGCAGCTGCTCATCATGATGCTGTTGGTTTGGGAAGGGGAAGGAGTTAAGAGGTGAAGGCCACCTCGTCGGGGTTTGAGATCCTCAAATTCCAGCAGGCTCTGTGCAGCCCCTGGAACACGGCTCGGATTTGCCAGCTGTGTCCCTGGAGTGCCCGCTACTCTGAGCTGTGGGGCCGCTGCTTTGTGTGTCCATTCATGCAGAAGGTGTCTGCAGAGCCTGGCCCAGCTCAGCTGGGCCCTGGGCTGGGGGCAGGGTCCCCACCCATCCTTCTGCCCACACCCCAGGAGTGCCAGGGAGCAGTACCCAGAGGTGAGAGCACCGCACAGCAGTCTAGACTTTCTCCACCAAAGCCGTCACATCTGTCTGGTATTTGATATCAGCCTTGGAGGTCTCCCTTCTCCTCACTGGGCACAGCAGAGGGGAAGGTCAGTGGCATGCAGG